TAACGTTCTCGTCGAAAAGGTCGAGTCCACCGCGACCGCGTCAAGACTGTCCGAATATCGTTTTCAAAGTCGCTTTTGTGTGAATTGCGACGGAATTTGGGCTATCGTGAACGAAATCCACACGTGTAATTCTCGTGTCGGTTACCGGTCGTCCCGGTGACCTTTGACGCTACGACAGCTCGGCAGTGTACACCGAATTCTGTAACATCTTTCGCGTACAATATATTCTATATTATTTTAAACGAGTGCTGTGTTAATCCGCCCTGTCTTGCCGTGAAGACGGCTTTCACAGACTTCCTTTCGTCGCCGACGATCCACGCCCCTTTCCGCGATCCGGATCGCTAGTCGTGGTAATTTTCGCGACGTTCGGCTTCTCACGCCGGTATCTCCTGATACCTGGTTCTCGGGTTTTCCCGTAAAGGAGTGAGAAGTCGGAAAACTCTCATTTTGCACGCTTCCCGACGCGGATCGCGGTCCGTGTCGGGAAATTACGTTGCAATATATATATATATATAAACTACTGGACAAAATTACCGGAACACTTTTTTAAATGTTTATAATTATGAGAGTTTTCAACCAATTTCAGTAAAACTCGTGAGGAATAGTCTTCAAGTGTCTTCTGGGTGTGCACACAGTTGCATTGGCGAGGTTTGATGTGAAGGGGTCAATTTACCCCCTTAAAGTGGGGAGCGTCGAAAAACGTCACTTCTAAAGGTACCAGAAATGACGGAAGAGGTTGAAAAAATTAAACAAAACTTTAGGACGACTCTCCTTGATGCCCTCTACAAAAAGCACCCCTTTAAATCCCACTCGGACAATCCCACCCCTCACAACCCCCAAACCCCTCTAAAATCCACAATTTTTGGACGACGGTCTCGATTTTTGGCTCAATGCATTCTCTGGACTCCCCTGATCCAGAAAATGCTATCACCCATACCGTGCACCCCATAGGCACCCTTTTGGGGGTGGGGGAGGGGTGGAACAGCTCGCAAATTTTCAACCCCCTTCGTAAGGGAGCACTTTCACACATCGGAGGGCGATGAAATTCACCATGTTTGTTTTCAATATGCTAAGGATGAATGCCGAAAAGATCCTATTTCGAAAACTGCCCCCGAAGCTGAAGTGAGAGGGGCAGAGGTAGGGGGTGGTCCATCGCTAAGTGCAAGGGTTGAAATGTTATCACGTTGGGTGGATTACATGTCTAACAGTCCAGGGGCGACACAGTTTTGATGTCTTTTTCCCGCGTGAATGGCAATAAAATACAAAAATGTGGATTTTTTTAAAAACTCGTTTCCAACTTCAGGCCCATCTGCAGGGTGAACGAGTAACCCCACGTCAACGCCGTTCATGGATTCGGACGCGCGAATGCTTTATTAACAGATCCCTGAAAAATCAGATTTTTTTAATCACGCTTTCGTTGTCAAATCGGAGAAGATTTGAAAGAGTAGTAAGTAAGTAGTAAGAGTAGTGGGCCGGGCAGAGCCGGCATTCAGAAGCGGAGCAAGGGCTGCACCTGTATCTGGTCAGCCCAGACCTGAATCCAATGGAACGTAGGCATCGAATACCTCATCTGCGTCCTCCATGTACCGCACCGACTTTGTTCTGCAGACGCGATCCCAGTGACCCGTTTTCTAGCATCTTCGGTAGGACGGCCGCAGCGCCGGGCGTTTCCTCGAATCGACGTGTTTGGGTAGGTCGCAGCGGAAACACGTCGACTCGCTGGAATTTCCTTTGCTCGCCTCGCTCTTATCTAAAATCGCCTTGTCTCTATAACGGATTTGTTTGTCCTGCGCGTCCACACAGTTTACATCGTAGTTTTGTTCTGTTGACAGGTTCTTGCGTAAAATTTTCGATTCTTTAGCTTGATTTTCAGCTTGTCGAACTATAGTAATCGCTTTTTCAAAAGTAAAATTGGACGTAAGTTGTAAACTTTCAGACATTGTTGAATCTCGCACATCCGTTACGATGCGGTCTCTAATCAGGTCGTCTTTAAGCGTGCTGTATTCACACAGTTCCGCTTGCGCATGTAATGCCGTAATAAATGAGTTCACTAATTCGTCCACGTTTTGCACTCTGGTATTAAATTTGTGTCTCTCGAAAATGATATTCTTCTTGGGTTTAAAGTGTCCGTAAATTTGTCTTGAACTGTTTCTAACGTCGTAGTGTCGGTCACATTAGGCGAAATCTAATTGAGAATGTTCTCTGCTTTTTCACCCATCACATAACATAGGAGATCTATTTTTTCCTTATCAGTTTTGCTTGATATATTCGCCACAGAGAGACAACGGTTGTAACAAAAGTTCGACCAAAGAAGCCGTGGACGCTATATAAGCAACTCGGCGGCCGGCCATACTACCAAAAGGCTGAGCAATAAGACGCCAGCCTTATAAACAAAAGCCGAATGGTCGAGGACTTGGGCGGACAAGGGCATCACTCGCTGTTCGGCCCTCGATGAGGAAAGACCGAGCATAAAACACTACCAATAGTGAAGCAGTCTGTTAATATTAATAAAGTACCTTTATAGTCGCATTTAGTAATCGTTTTGTTAATACGGTTGAATCTTTTTAGCCATGATGGCCACAATTCCGGCTTGCCAAAGTCGAACTCGGATGGCGTGCGAATGTTCGCGGAGATTATGTTTACTGGCGACACGACCATTTCTTGGCTCTCATTTAGCATTTTACGGGTTCATGTGTGCACGCTGCCACCATGTATTGGTAATGGATGTCGATAAGGATAACGTTCCTTTAGATAGGTGTATAATTAGTAGAAATATAAGTGTACGCGAATGCACGTGGTCTGTGAAATCTGCGAAGTATGGCACACATAGTTTTTTACACAGAGTTTATTGTCAATAGGACAGAGCACAAAGAAAGTATATACAAAAGAAATACTGCGTGGTCAGTAACGAATACGTTGAACTAAGTGAAACGAAAACCAGTACAGAATTTACACAATATATACAATGAAAACTCAGAATACCGATTTGATATGCTGATAAGACCAATCACTAGCGTGGACTGAAACTGTTAATAAGACGTGGACTGAAATTCGATAATGACTGAAAATCTAGAGAGAAAGCGCGAGCTGAAAGCGTGAACAAAACGCGTCCGAGAGGTGCTGCCGCTATCACCTGCGAGTTGAGATCGCGATCGGCGCGAGATCTGAATGTTAATTCGCCAACGATAGGAGAACGTCAAAGTATATCTGGCCTTTATGATCGAGTCCAGTACACTCTCGAGTATGGCTGCTTAACCCCTCTTGCTCTTACCGTTGGGGGGCGCCACCTCACGAGGGCAGTCCATCCCCTGCACGCTCTCACAACAAATACGTATGGCGCTATATTGAGGCCGAACGGCAGGCACGAAAATTCTAAACACTCACCGCAGAACAGAATTCCAAGGTATTTTTTGTTCCAGCAATCGGAACTACGTAATACGTGACTTTTAAATCGAGCGTAGCCGTGAACGACCCCTCAGATACTAAGTCTCGAGCTGTTCGCAAATCCTCCAATTTAAAATGCTCGGCATCAATAAATTCATTAAGATTCTTTAGGTTGAGGATAAAGCGACTAGAACCATCTGGTATTGGAGTAACAAAAATTGGTGATATAAACTCCCCTTTGGCTCGTTCACACTTCAGCACAGCCCCTTTATCGATCAATTTGTCAACCTGTTCTGCGATTAAAGATCTTTCAGAATTTGACCAATGTGGTTCCCGAGGAACTGATTTTTGCACTAGCGGTATTTCGAATCGTATTTTAACCCCTTGGACCCAGCCCAAGACTCCGTCGTCGGTAGTTATTCTCCTCCAAGCATGGTAAAAATGTTTCAGGCGACCCGCCAACATACTTATTGCACTTACTGGCGTCTTTTTCGTGAGAACTTGTAGTTCTTCGACTCGGTTTTTCGATGGCTCAATGAGCTCTTCGATGCATACGTCTTCCTCTGCTCGCCCCACGATGATCCCCGTTGTTTGAAGCTCCATTGTTGGAGCGGACTCTTGAAATTTTTTGTCGGTAAATTAGTTGATGCCTTACTAACGGCCTTGATTTGTTTGGATGAACGCTCCAAATTTTTGGCAGTCTTTATATTTTCATCTAGCTGGTTTCCGAATAACCATTCGTCGATTGACGTAGCATTGAGCATCGTTATAATGTTCGCGTTCGACGGTGCTTCACCGATTATTTCTGGCGACTTTTCTCTCGATTTTGATTTGGACCTCGAGCCTAACCTCGAATTCGCTTCTGAACTCGAGGACTCCTCTGAACTCGAACGCCCTTGTTTTATGGAAACGAAGAACAAACGAAAAACAAACCTTTTAATGGATATCCCTTGGATACAGTATCCCTATATTCACAACCATGCGAGTCATTTTCGAAAATATCCTACAGACATTTCAACATTTCTCGAAATGTATTTAACACAGTTATTCGGACCTTGTCCTACATGAGCGGGCCTCACCCGCTCGCATAGAGACCTAATCTCCCTTAATCGACCTGTGCGGAAAAAAAGACTTTCTTGAGTCGAATTTGTATTCGATTTTCGTAACGGCCTAGCCATTACGTATCGAAACGAAATGACTACTAACAGCCGCCCTCTTGATATGCTGCAATAGACAAACATACTCACTTCGTTTTCTACGAGCTCCCTTTTCCTTTTTCTTTCGCGACGTTTCAGACATCTCAATCGTTTTTCGGGGCGATTCTCCTTATTTTCTTCATCGGAATCACTCCAGCGACTTCTTTTCTTTCCCATTCTTACCTCTGTCAAAAAAACACGTTCGTGGTTTTCGGCACAAGAAAGAAGAATGAGTTGCAAAACACGCGCCGTGGTGGATAGAAAAAACATCATTTTTACTATGAAGTTGTGGCGATAACGGCGTGAGATGCTCATTTACTCATTATTCAATTTACACATTAATCTCAAAAGACTCAATGTCATGTGTCTACAGAGAATAGAGAAATTACAACATCCATTCATTTTCCTTTTTGTTAACAGTTTCTATTTGACAAACATGAAGACCGTAAAGGAAATCGGCGTATCCTTTGCAAGGAAGAGTGTCTGCTACCTGGGAGAGATCGTTTTGGAACGAAAGGAACGACACCATTTCGGTAAGTGGCACTGTCCTATACATTCTGCGGTTTTGAGTAATGTACATGGAAAGTGAGGATTGCGTCACATTAGAAGTGTATTGTAAGACGCGGTTCTTGAAATTTTTAAAGAACTGTGGTGGCACCTCCGCTCCTCACCACCAGAGGGAAACCGTGTGTCCCGCGCGTTTCTCACAAGTACTCGGTCCGCCTAACATTCCTATACAGAGTGTCCCAAAAGTCGGGGAGGAGCCGGAAATGGGGGGTAGCTGAGACGATTCTTCCGACCACAATTTCCTTTGCAAAAATGTCGGATGGGGCTTCGTTAAGGAGATATTAAGAGAAAACCCCGACCAATCAGAGTGCGCGTAGACCGTTCGAGCGGCCGCGGTAGCGAAGGCTACGCGCTAGGCGGCAGCGTCAATGTCCTTCGATGCACGTCGAGTCACTTGTTCGCGTATAAGCGCGGCCGCCAGTGCGTAGCCTTCGCTACCGCAGCCGCTCGATCGATCTACGCGCGCTCTGATTGGTCGGGGTTTTCGCTTAATATCTCCTTAACGAAGCCCCATCCGACATTTTTGCAAAGGAAATTGTTGTTCAGAATCGTCTCAGCTACACGCCATTTCCGGCTCCTCCCCGACTTTTTGGACACCCTGTATAAGCCCTTCCCGACCGACCTCCAAATATCCCGGCGTCTAAGGCACGGGTCTGCTAGCAAGCCTTACTGACGATTCCATTAGCAGGTCCAGGACGAAACGCTCCCTTCCTTTTCTCCCCTCTCTCGCTCTTTCTCCACAGACACAACAACCACCACAGAACCATTTCACAAGCGATGCCGTATCCACGAACGACTTTTCTGGTCGATTGAGAACCGCTTTAAGGTCCATTTACACATTTCCGTAACGTGTCAGTTCCGTACCGTTCAGTTCCGTAATTATAATATTCTCCTGTTGTTTTTAAATGGACATGTTCACACACGTCCGACACGATCCGTATCTGTTCAGTAACATTTGTATTTAGTTCCAACGATATTTTTGTTTCGCGGACAGCTTACGACACACAGTGGGGCATTTGGCCCGAAAAGCTGGCAAAAAGTAGATTTCTAAATTTTGTCTAAGCTATCAAATTATGATTGTCTCATATTATTAAATGCACCCCTGAAAATCCCTCTCGGGCAAACACACCCCTCACAACACCCCACCCCCTCCAAAATCCACAATTTTTGGACTACAGTCCCAAATTTGGGTTCAATGCATTCCCTGGAATTCCCTGATCCAGGAAATGCAAACGCTCACGTCGTGCGCCTCATAGGCACTTTTGAAACTGGGTCTTTTAGCATTGATCCTTAACATACCGAGAACAAACCTGGTGAATTTAAAGCTACTCCTGACGAAGTTCCACGAAAATTGATTGAAAACTTCCATGTTTTCGAACTTTGTAAAACAATGTCCATTAAGTTTTGTCCGTCAGTGTACTTGTGTACATTCCTGCAGTATGGAAGATTTTCAGGTAGGTTTATATTACGCCAAGTACATGAAAAAATCGAGGACTCAAGGAGTTATCATTGAAAAATAGAAGATCCCCATAAAAATGTGATCTTCTATTTTTCTATGATTACTCTTTAAGTCCTCCACTTTTTCATGTACTTAGCGTAATTTTTTTACTTTTTTGAAGTTTTTTATGGGGATCTCACTTCTTTTTACAAAGCTAATTTCTATAGTGAATGACTTCAAATAATAGAAAATGGGAGATCAGTTTGAATCCTTTAAGGTTTCAAAAGTACGCGGAACGCATTACAGTAAGTCTCATTGCAGGAAATTTATGAAAGAAAAAATGTAATCACTTTATCAGTAACATTTAAATGCAAGAAGACTTTCTGCCATGTCTTCTGTGAACGTATGAACTGTATTCTAGTACAATAAATTGTGCGTTACAAATAGTTGATTTCTTTTTTTCATTTAGCACTTCATCTTTAACATTTAAATTTCTTGCAGTGAGACATCTTGCCATGCGTTCTGTATACTTTTGAAAACTTTATGGACTGAAGCTGGTCTCTTTCCTATATCTGGCTTCAGACACATTATGTATATTGTGGACTCTACGCTTACTATAATAAAAGACAAATGTATTTTTATTTTAAGCTCTACATTAATTTGCAAGTAAAATATGGTTTGTATGTGTTATTTACAAATAAAATAATGTCATATGAATAACGCACAATTTATGATATTACAATACCAGAATCAGTCCCTTAAGTTTTCAAAAGCACACAGAACACATGGCAGAAAGTCTTGTTGTAACAAATTTAAATGTTAATAAATAAAGTGGGAAAATGTACAAAGAGATCCACTATTGGTAACGCACAATTTATTGTATTATAATTCCAGTTTCAGTCCTTTAAGTTTTCAAAAGTACGCATAATGCATGTCACAAAGTCTTGTTGCAAGAAACCAAACGTCACAAATCCAAACTGACAGTTACAGGTTAGAAATGAACGAGCGGCATGAGTGACAGCCATATTACAATTCCGACCGACGAGCCTTGCAGACTGATTCCAAGAGTCGACGAATCGACGAATGATCTTAGCTCCTATTGACTAAGTGTTGACGAAAAGAATAAGAATCAGAATCAGAATGAGAATCAGAAGAAAAACCTACAATTTCTGGCAGATTCATGACATGATTTTACGATATCTCAGTTGTACACACACCGATTTTATTGATTTTCGTTTTATTAGAAAGCTTATATGCGATTTACATCAGAAAAATGCCTTCAGATTTAGAAAATAAAGCAGGCGTGACGAGATATTAATGACAGAAGTTTCGGGTTAGGTTGAAATCGCAGTTTCACGAGTAAAAGATACGTGGTAGCGTCAGCGCCAGTATACACGGTGGCGTATAATTTTTCATGTACTTGGCGTCGAGACGCTACCGCGTCTCTAAATATGCAGTTTACATAAGAAAAATACCTTTTAATTTAGAAAATATTGCAGGCGTGTTGAGATATTCATGAAAGAAGTTTCAGGTTATGTTGGAATGGACCATCTCTCCTGTAAAAGATACGTGGTAGCTCCAACGCCATATATGCGCGGTGACGGATAATTTTTTATGTACTTGGCGCCGAGACGCTACCGCGTCTCTAGATTTTTTTTCCAACAGAGTGTACTTTATATTGTCACATATATGTTACCGTCCAATCGATATATTGATTTTTTGGAACAGCTAATTCGCCGTTGTTCGGTTAGCGACAGGTTCCCGAAAGGTCAGAACACCTGAACGGACCGACTGAGAAGGACTGAAAGTAGCTCCACAACGAATATCGCATGACCGATGAGTTACCATCGGTAACGCGTAAACAGAGCAAGCAACCCGACGTTGCATTGCTAATTCATTATTCGTAAAATTCGCCATCTCGGGAAACATTGAGGTTAAACTGATCAAACGTCACGAATGTTACTGATACGGTACGGATACGGAACTGACACATTATGGATATGTGTAAATAGATCTTTAGTGAAAGGAATACCGATGTTCCACGGTAGAACGCTTATTCGACAGAACTTATTGCTCTACATTTTTCAGGTTAAAATCATGATTACACGGTAGGAGCAGATATTTGAGGCTTCCACGGTCTGATTCTTCATGGTTGGTACTAACTGAGGCTTCTGGGTGTTCTTTATGGAGGGTTTCTGCCTTGTTGGATCAAGAAATAAACAATATGAGCGATTTTTTTCCTAAAGTATTCGTCATAAGAAATTTTGGCAATTATTCAAAAGTTTGCCCTTCTCGCTGATTTTGATGACCTTGAAATATGTTGCCAAGGCTATCATTCTGAACAACTTTCCCGAGCGGCGGTAACATGTTTAGGGAAAAGTTATTCAAAATGATGACTTTGATAATGTTACGTCCTAGCTTTGATTCACAAGGATCGAAGTTCACACGCACAAATTAGTTTCTCACTTCTGCTCCACGCCCCTCCCTATGGACACGCGTCTGAGCAGGATTGACTAACTGCGTCGAGTTCTTTATGTTACCCTTTTGTTTTATTTTTTTAAATGTATCCGCAAAATACTCACTTTAGTCGATTGGTGCTCCTAAACAGGTAATGAGCGTATCGCGGGTTGCTTATTGGGATGTCGGTAAAAGACGGCAACACCACGATGTAGTTTATCGGTGTCAGTTTTCAGATGATGCCCGGTATCCTATTCTTGAGTCCTTCTGGTCTTGTTGTTGAAGCGAATATCCCGAGCGGGTAGCGTCCTGCTATCGCGGGTTCACTGAACTCGCGGATCAACTTACGAAGTTGATTCTTACGTCCCGCACGACGGGTTCTGTTGGGCATTTATATAAATGGAAATAGAGCGGTGATCCTTTCCTATTTCCGTTTATGGATGTTTTCTCCTTTGGAGGGGTCAAGCGGTTGCCCTTTCTAACCACCTCGTCCAGAGTAAGGGAAAAAGGGAATTTGGAGAGATGAGAGAAGAGATTGAATTCTAAACTGTTATACAAAATAACTGCGTTTATTATAGTCTTTGCGCGACTATTATGATTGATGATTAACAATCCAATAATTTACAATTTTTACGATCTACGATTGACGATTTACGAGAATGTGCACGAGAGTCTCCACGAGAATATATAATGATGCTCTCTATTCTTGTGGCAGTATTTATACCCTAGAAAAGCCTAAATTTTGAGAGTGGAGCATTTATCTCTATGCGGATGCAATGCCCCCTCTTTTCCTATTACGCGGAAAATTCGTGACTCGCTCTTAGCTGGGTCAAATTCTTATTTTATTTTGGAGATATCGCAATTTCAAGTAAGGATGTACCTTTGCACTTTGCTTGGTAGCTGCAATCCTTATCCTTGTGGCGACGCGCCGCTCTGGCGCAAGTGCTGAGATAGGACTATCGACTCAGCGTTATCTTAATTTCTTAGACTTAACATTTGTTTAGCACACATAGGAGGTAGCTCGTAGATATTCCCATCTAGTATCACTCCTATGTGGCATTGAATTAAAAG